TTTACGATCTGAAACGGATGCCGAGTTGACAAACTCAAACGGGATATGGTACCAGGCGTTTCGAAAAGTTTAGCGCAACCGTATCATGGGACTTTACACAGAATACCTCTTTTAATACCTTTGAAGTTTTTTTTACCAAGGTTATTAGCCCACTCGGGGGTAGAAATGATTTTGAATATTTATCATTTACAAAATTACATTAAAATTTTGTATCTTTTTGTTGTTTTTTTCTGATATTTTCCACTAAAGGCACATCCTAATGAATTTGTTTTTACCAATTAACCGTGTCATGTAAATGAAATGAATGGAGTTTTACGTGTCATGTATGACCCGTTTCTTGATAAAAAAAAAAGGAATTATGGGATAGTGGAAGCCAAAGAGGCTGTACTATCGCTCTACTTTGGGTTTCGATATTCCACAATTGCTTTTTAGAAAAAAAAAATAAAAAAAATGACGCACTTTGATTGATTAGAAATACTACCTTTGGGACGGGCCTTTGTTAGAAAACTTGTCAGATTACAATTGAGACTAAAAATATCAGAAAATAAAAGAAAATATACGAAATTGAATCTAATTTTAATTAGATTGACTCTAAGTTACGATGAACTAACGGTTCTGTCGGTTGATATCAGTCCTATGAGATTTACATTGTAAGATGGTTGAAATAAACTACTGATGTACAAATCAATGACATGGAGAAATGAGTTAATCAAGCAAGCTAAAAGTATTTCTCATTCTCTACTCTATCTTAATCAACAACCTGTAATTTTGTTCACTGTGTCTTTCATATATAATATTAATCACTAACATTTTCATTTCTAAATAACATAGCGACTGACAGCGTGTAATCAAATATTCCAATTTGTGGTCGACTCCTGGTTGACTAAACCTTGTTATCGTATATAAACATGTTTGAAACAGAACTGTCTGTTATATGATGCCTCAGGAAAGAAACCTTTACCAAACTTTGGTATTATTGCCATGGTTGAAAGCACAAGGGAGAGTCTGATTTTATGGGAAGATTGGTAAAAGCAAGATGCTCAAATTGATTCAAACTATAGACCAGATTCTAGAGAAACGTGTCCTTTACCTTCTCTGAAAGGTTTTACTAAAAGTGTCATGTATTTAATTTTAACACAGAAACTTTAAAAAATGTTTACGTAAGGCCATATTATACTATCATCACTTTCGCCGTTTACAGTAGTGCATTTTCATAGCTTATTCTGAAAAGTGTACGAGTAGTAGAAATTATATTTAATTTGTCGATGAAGCGAATATTATATATTATAATCCCTTTACATTGCCTCAAAAATTAGTTTATAATTGAGTTGCCTTCTAAGCAAGGTACACATTATAAACTTAATTATTTCAATTATAGATGCGTGTACCACATACAACTAATAATTACATAAAAATATTATTTCCACTGCGTAATCACAATTTCCTTCTGATCTTCAAGTTGTATATCTAATAATCACAGCCAGGATATTGGACATTTGTCTATATATAACACTATTGTCTTTCTTACTAGTGAATTTCAGTAATGCTTGTCTTCTTGTCTGATTGTCAATCAAATACTCCCAACTGATCTACACCATATTAGTCTAATTAAGACGGTCCTTGGAGAGGGGCAGAACGATATTGTCGAACAAGTGTAATCAACTAGCCCACTCTTAATTCCTTTCTGAGAACTTTCCAAGGAAGATCTTGGACTGAAATACGTTTTACTGTGATCATCAAAAATTAGTACTATTAGATCCTTCAATTTCACTAATATTCTATTTTTCATGAACATAAAACTTACTCTGAACATCAAACAAGTAAGTTATTTTGATCATAGTTTGACAATGAATTTTAACCAACCATGCTTACAAACTGGATCCTATACCGGAAGTAAAGAATTCCGCGAACAAGGTAATGATCTTATCACTAATCGTAGAATATCATACAACGGAACGAAATTTTGAATTTAGAGTGATGTAATGGGTGGCGTCAATAGCATTTTGTACGAAATCCACATATTCCTTTGCTTTCGTTTAGATGATTGGAATTTTATATTAATTTTAGGGATGCTTAAGCGTTGTAAAACAATTTGAACACCCTGTCTAAAATTTACTTTTGATTTAATTGTTGCAGTATCAAAATTACCAGCTTGTGAAATAAAAGGTTAGAGTTCGCATACTCGCACTATCCTTGTAAAACATTTTTTAAATTTGTTATATTACTGCTATAGATAAAATTACCTTCAAGATATTAAAGAATTCATAATATTATTCAGCGTTATTGATTATGAGTGGCAAAACTTCATGATATTAATACATATGAATAATTAAAGGAAGCTCGTTAATCGTAATGGCGTATTTAGAATCACTTAAACTGTGAAGGTCGCAATGAATAGACGATTACTAGGCACATACATGAATAATGGATTTGTTGGTCGTTAGAAATCAAGGGAATAATAGATATGTAAATAAAAAGCTTAGTGTGTTTCTTCAAGGGTGCTCAGGTCAACTGTTGATCCACGGTTGGGTAATATAATATGGAGAAGGAGCAATGGTATATGGTGTTTAATTGTGTTAAAGGAATTGGTCGGTTGTCAGAATTTTTTACAGAAGGCGTATCCCTTTTTTCGTGGGGACACAATTTAACAGTTTGTTGCTACGGGCTGGTTTGCTCTCATAATAATCAAATAAACCAATTGCTAAGGACTGCATGTATACATATTCAGACAGATTTCCAGCTTTTTTATGTGTGCAATTCATGATGTAATCTGTTCAATTATTAATGGCCACAGTTGCTTGTACACACTCTAGAAGGCACAATGTTTGAAGAATTTTGACGAAATTTTGTGTGAGTGTTTTAAATCACCCAAGACTGAATCCTATAGAAAATCCTACAAATCGAAAAATATTTAGTAGGAGGTATTGCCCATGTTCTTGAAAACGCATTCAATTTTTAACTTGTAAACACGCACAATTATTGACGGATTTATATGAAACTTTGTGAAATTGGTTATCACCCAAGGATGGACCCTACCGATATTTTTTTTATTCAAAATCAAAGCTGTCAGTAAGCAAATCTCTATCGATGGCGTGGTATATTCGATGACGCACAATTTAATTTGTCATCTTTTCTATTCCACGTCTTATACAAGCATGTCATTACTCTACATGCTCTTGGACATTTTACGGTGACCGTGTCATAGTGAAGAGCTTAAGGCCCAATCTGGAAAAATCTCTTAACCCAGAGCAATTAAGCTACTATTAAATGAAGCGAACGCTGGGAGACATCATTAATCATGCTTACAAGAGAATGATACAGATTCATAAAATCTCTTCTTTATATAGTTACTTTGATGCCGTTAGTCATGGGGTTTAATTATGGAACTCCCAGGCCATTGGTCTTAATTAGGGATCAAATACCTTATATAAGACATAGAACCAGAATAACACCAGTTTCACACGCCTCGGGTGACAAAGCCCGTCTTCGTGGTTTTGTTGTACAATGGTGCTCTGTCTCACCTGAATGGACCAGTGTTTAGTTGTGAGATAGTTGTGTTAGTGGTAAGTTCATTTATTGTACAATGTCATACAATTTTTTTAATGATAATAATTGTTCTGATTTACTATTCTGATTAACATTTACAAGATGGCTGAAACGTCTGACTGCTTTTATTTCATTTGCAATCAATTCAAGTCTGTATTGTGTTTTAGACTTTGGAAGTTTGTGTTTAGCTATATCAGAATGAACCATTTTGTCATTTGTATTAATTGGACTTCTTCCAATGCATCTTTTCGCAATTATGGTTAGTGCGTTAAGGTATACTGGGGATTTGCTGTCGATGCATATTTACATATCTACAGGTAACCTGTCGTTTGGCTGCTGTTAAGCAAAATCTTGCTTTAGTGCGTTGTTCGTCCTAATTGTCTGTCAAGGCCAATAGGGTTAAACACACAGACAACGTTTTGTGGTGTACTATAAGGAAAAGTGTGCCAGGACAGCGAAAGTACCTCATCTTTTTTTAGGGATCCTCAACATGCATTGGTTGTATTCGCATTTTAGACAATTTGTCCCTACCAGTTTGTACGACCTGCTTCACTGACTTGTGAAAACGAATGAAGATAAACGCCTTAGATATTTTTTGATTGCCTAGTCTCTCAAATTGAATGTATATCACGAATAACGTTCATCAAAAACAACACAGAACACTTTTTAAATCCGGTTTCCTTCAACAACCGCAAACAGGATGTGTAATATCACTTTGATGACGTAATTCAGATAAAAAGCTATGTATTATATATCTTTGTAACTAATAATTGCATTATATCATAATAGGCTTATTCTTCACTAGACAAAAAATATTTATGTTATTATATCGATATAAGCTAATGAGCTATTATAAAATATAATGAAGCAGCCAATCATTACAAAGTTTACCGTCTTTTTTTTTGAATGATTTCCTAAGAGTTGTTGTATTGTATTGATTAAACTAGTGATTGAACAGCATGAAACTTTGAGTAACTACAAACTTCAAACCCTTTTCATATTTCTATATATTATATTACACAGCGCAGTAAAAATATCTAGTTATAGTTGTAATTTAATTATCATAATGCTTGTATTTTGTAGCTTAGAAGAATTTAAAAGGGTGAAACAACTGGAAACAGGACAGACTGGCAAGGTACATCGTGAAAACAATATGGAAACGTCTATATTGGACTTTTCTGTGTAGAATGGAATGTTTTGGTTCTGTTAATTATCGAGGAAGCGGTTTTAAAATCTCAATATGAAGCATATTCGGTCACATAATAAGTGAATTGGATTTGAATTGATCTTTCATTGGATTCTCGTTTACGTGACATCAATATGGCCATTCGTGACAAATTGTAAGGAATTCTTAGTTACAGCATTTTTGGACTCTATGAATGCTGAATCAAGCGCTACAAAGTTTTAAAACGGGGAGTGTAAGTAACATCTCCAAGCCTATTTGTTTAATCAAAATGAACGTCCCTGTCAAATGTGATCCACGTGAAGTACTCTTCGTCCATTCTTCCTTAGCAATCTACCATATCTTGTGTTCAGTATTAATGGTGGCAATTTTTATAGCAACTAAAAGACTTGTGGAGAGCTTTCGACGTTCTTATTCTAAACTGACGGTGGTAGTTATAGGCGGTGGCCCTGTAGGATTAACTGCCGTTCTTGTAGCGGCGTTATCTAAAAAGGTGTCTAATATCATACTTTTTGAAGAAATGTTTAGAAATAATTTGTGCAATAAACCCAGTCAAATAGCATTCAACCCTAAAACAGTGAAGTTTCTACGGACGTTGGATATAGATTTTGATAATTTAGAAGGTTGTTGGAGTAATGACTATTTTTACACTAGAAGCGGTGTTTATACAGATTATCTATTGTGTGTTTTGTATAAATTTAACAAAAAAGTTGATCTTAAACTAGGAACAAAGGTAAGATTTTTTATTGTATCCTTCTTTCATGCATTTTGAGTTCCTCGAGTTTTGAATAAAACGTCTTTTTCGGCGGTGTGTCTGTCTTGTGGAATATCAACAGTATATGTGTGAAATTGTTATAATGAACATGCTTCGTTTGCCTCTTCACACCCCATTAAGGTCATTGTAGACTACGAGTCAATTCTGATTGTCGTATTGGTCTTGTAAATCCACTGATGAATTTGTGTTTATCTTAAGAGGTAGTATACCTTTAAAGGTTGAAACATAAGACATTCCAGAAAGGGTCGAAGGTGTAAATACAAGACGGTACCAGAGAAGCGCTAATCATGATATAATGATACCTTTTCTCTATAATATGAACGGCTTTCATTTACTCGGATACGTTTTTCTCATTTTATTCCAAAATGTTCAATAACGCTTCAAAACAATGCTGAAAATAACAAGTTATAACGTAATAACTCAAAGCGTGAATTGATCAATCTTCAATTTGAAATGAAATGACAACATAATGCACACATTCAATAAAGCTTTCAACAAAATTCAATTATTTTTACAGTTTTACAATGTTTTGCTTTAAATTTTCACCCTTAAATGGAATAAAACATCAAGATAAACGATTAGATAAAATATTTATTTCGCAAGATTTGATTGTGTTTCCAACTTATAGAATGTTACGTTACAAAACTAAATGACGTAATAATGCTATAAACTGAAATTACAAGATTGATAATATGTGACTCCAATTGCTAAATAATAATGACAGAAACAATGTAATGAATCAAAATTATATCAATGATAATGAAACTGCCAATGTAATGAAACCAAATTACAACATCTATAATGACACTTGACTATTTAATAACGCCAAATTACAACAATGATAACGAGAGAACAATGTCGTAAATAAGAACAAATGACATTGTGAATATTATAAACCCAAATTACAACAATTAAAACGACATTGACAATGTTATAAACTAAATTACATCACAAATAATGACATAGTGAATGTTATAAACCCAAATAACAACATTCATGACATAGCCTGTGTTATAAACTAAATTACATCACAAATAATGACAGAGTGAATGTTACAAACTCAAATTACAACATTAATAACATAGCCTGTGTTATAAACTAAATTACATCACAAATAATGACCTTGTGAATGTTATAAAACCAAATCACAACATTAATGACATAGCGAGTGTTATAAACTAAATTACATCACAAATAATGACATAGTGAATGTTATACACTCAAATTACAACATTAATGACATAGCGAGTGTTATAAGCTAAATTACATCACAAATAATGACATTGTGAATGTTATACACTCAAATTACAACATTAATGACATAGCCTGTGTTATAAACCAAATTACATCACAAATAATGACATAGTGAATGTTACAAACTCAAATTACAACATTAATGACATAGCCTGTGTTATAAACTAAATTACATCACAAATAATGACATTGTGAATGTTATACACTCAAATTACAACATTAATGACATAGCCTGTGTTATAAACCAAATTACATCACAAATAATGACATAGTGAATGTTATAAAACCAAATTACAACATTAATGACATAGCGAGTGTTATAAGCTAAATTACATCACAAATAATGACATTGTGAATGTTACAAACTCAAATTACAACATTAATGACATAGCGAGTGTTATAAACTAAATTACATCACAAATAATGACATAGTGAATGTTACAAACTCAAATTACAACATTAATGACATAACGAGTGTTATAAACTAAATTACATCACAAATAATGACATTGTAAATGTTATGAACCCAAATAATAATTTATATTTATGCCAGTGTTATAAACTAAATCAAACAATAATGACATTGCCAGTGTTATAAACTAAATTACATCACAAATAATGACATTGGAAATGTTATAAAACCAAATTACAACAATAATGACATAGCGAGTGTTATAAGCTAAATTACATCACAAATAATGACATTGTAAATGTTATAAAACCAAATTACAACAATAACGACATTGCCAGTGCAATCTATAATTACATCTATAATGGCATTGACAATGTTATGAATCGAACTCAAATTACAACATTAATGATGACATTTTAGATGTCTTGAACCTAAATGGCATCATAATTTATGGCATTGGCAAAATTATAAACCCAAATTACAAAGATTACACAAATTAATGACACTCTAGTATTATGAACCCAAATTATAACAATTATAAAGACATGGCCAAAGTCGGGTGTAGGTCTGACTAGCGAGAGCTGGATTGCCCAATTTCGAAATATATGTCTGGTTCTGCAATATTTAATGCAAGAAAAAGACCCTGAAATATTGTCGATACATTATATTTATACGCCTACACCTTTTAACTCAAGAGAATAAACCTTTAGGTTTGGTTCAATTATGCAGATAAAATATTAAAGAGTATGGTATTATACTGTGTACATTTAATACCATTACCATAAAACTTCTAACAATACAATATAACTTCTATCAGTGATGTACAGAAAACTGTTAATATCACTCCAAATAACCAAACTATCATTTATTCTATTGTGTTACAATGAATTACCAAACACAATTTACATCACAAGTACAAAATAACGACTTAAATGTTAAGGTAAATTAACCTTTAGAGGAAATAAATAAAAATCCTTTTAAATCAAGTTCTAAATACGACAATAATTATTAGTTTGTCATTAAATTTGAGTCAATATAAATGAATGTATACAAAATCAAAAGCTTTTTACTAATCAATTTAAGCCCTATTGATGTAATATGAATTTAAGTTTAGTTTAAGACCACGGCCATCAGTCGTATAAAAAAATTATTATACATGTATATTATGGTTGTGGATATGTTATTATTATCTATCCCATCTTCACAATATACCTGGGAAGAATTGCAGCAATTTGGTTGGGTTGTACTTTACGTATACAGCAAATCAGAGTCCTTGACAGAAACAATAAGCCATAATTGCTACAATCTGTAAAGGGATCTGATTGGCTATATTTGCCGGCGTACAAACAAATCAAATCGCTGCATTCCTTTATAAAAGAAAGTTGGCTATCGATGTTCGCAAAAGCTTGACATTGTGACGTTGAGCTACCATGTAGCCTATAATGATACATTCTGGTGAGTTCTGGACTTAAATTATTTTCTTCCATCGATTTGAATTGTATTTGGATGTGTACAAATGCATTTCAAGGTGCAAATTAGAAGGCCGTTCACGTCAGGGCCATTTTTCTTTTGAACAACAAGGAGAGTATGATCTACGCTGAAGAGTTTTGTCAGATTGATATAGTTAGGTTAATTTTTTCATTCAAGTATGGTGTTAACATTCAATGTTCATAAATTTGCAGTGTTCAACGTTTTAATTCGGTGACCGATGACCTATAAGCTCAAACGAATGAAAAATCGCGATTGACGCCAGTTGACATCAGTTCTGTTGCTCACATTCCAACCGATAATATTATGTGCTCACTTGCTATTTTCCTTTTTCCAACATTACTAAATATATATTATTGTTAGCCGTAATGATTCTGCACTTCAAAATGAAAATGGTATCTATGCAATTCCTATGAACTATAGTATTTGTATTATCAGTTAAACGATATAGCGCTAGATATATTCACAGTGTCAAACAGAGCCCAGAAAGATTGTAAACATTATGTCTTACCGGCTGTATTCGTTAGCGTACAACCTAATAAAATTGCGTAATTTACAAACTCCTTTGATGCATGGCCATAGCAGTCGAGGTATAAGACAAAGTTCGTATCAGGTTGACATTGTGAAAATGGGTGCTAGATATAAAAAAAAATAACCTAACTTACCATTGGAGTGACAGGTGGTTTGACAGTGAAAACGTGTAAGCACTCTAACAGAATATCAAGTAAATCAATCTTAAATCTAGTAAGGACGATAATAAGATCCATATTGGTTATTCGATTCATTTTATGTCTTACTCATTAATTTTGTCGTTTTTGAGATATGCATTGGTATTTTACGTTTTGAACAGACCATTTCAATCTTGTACTCAGCTGCAGGGATGTCTAAGGTGGTGGGAGGGAGGGCCAAAAATGTCGGGTGTCTCTCCGAGGCGAGGCCCAAAGAGACCGCCACTGCTAAGGAAAAATCAATTCCGGGCCGTAATTAGGTTTTTTCTATGAGGCAAAAATCTCTTTCGGTGAGCATAGCGAGGGTTCTGTTTAGACTTCAAAAAGTAATAATATTTTCCGTAGATCATATTTAAATGAACAAATTTAATTTTTTTATTCAAATATCTAGTTGTTTAAATTCGCCATAAGGCATTTGGCATTTACTTCATCTACCTTGAGGCAGTTACGGCCCCCTGACAGTGATGTCACCTTTTAACATGTATTCCATCTTGACATTTACAATAACTAATTTATCAATGCTGACCAGTTTTTATATAAAGAAATGTATCATTCTTAATCGTGTGTTGACATTTAAGTGCAATTAAATCCTCTTTTACCGGAAATTGAAGAACAAAATATGAGGTTATAGCTATTGTTCTACAGAATGTTGGAAACGGTTTCGTTTTCACGTTGTGTTATTTCTTTCGAAGATCTGTATTTATGGACCGTCTGAAATAACGCATTCTGCAGCTTTAAAGGGATACGTTCTCTGTTCGTTTGACAATCAAGGCTAAGTCTTTTAGCTAAGCTATCCATAATAGTATTCACAGTTCACTGTCGAAGTTTGAGCCTTCAATTCGATGTATGTACATAATTATCCGCGTTTGAAAGGTAAAATGACGACTCGCCTTTTATTATAAAATATAAACCTGTCCATTTGATGACTATTGGTAAGAAGCCTTTTTGACAAATTGGCCAGAATAAAGACAAACTCAGTTCTCTGTTGCCTTAAATTTCTAGACTGCGTTCCTTTAAGATCATTCTGTTTGTGGACAGATAAAACTGATAAAAAAATATTATTTCAATGTTTATACATTTCAGTTTACCAGAGACACGATAAAGGAAGTTGATAAAGTGGTAGGCCGGAAGTTAGTCATTGCCTGTGATGGATCCAACGGAAATGGTGCAAGGATTATGGGTCTTAATGATGAATTTCTTCAACATTCCTTAAATGCGTACGGCGCTGTTGCTGGAGTGGATCGCCTCGTCCATGGTGCCGTCCCAGTTCCAGAAACGTCAGTCCAGAACATTCTGTTTGATTTAGGAGCGTATGGAATTCTGGTAGATGAGCGACAGGAACCTCAGGGATTTACTGTCAAACTATTTGGTAATCTTCGTCATCGATATATGAATATAGCCATCCCCAAATGTGAATCAACTCTACTGAAATCAATGAGATTAGTTTTAGATAGATCAGTAAGTATTTCATTGATTTTAAACATAAATAAGAAACATATAATATACATTTTGATCGGATTATCGAGATAAATTTTAAGTTATTATCATGACAGACTTGAACCAAACTTCTATATCCCCAGAAAGATTCCATTGTCGATACTAAATATCACTTCCAGGACAAAATAACTACTGCACTCCTCTTCTTGATTCGCCATTTACGTGGATAATTATTATTTTCTCAGAAGGAACAATACGCCTTTATGTCAATATCAACTTCACTAATATGTTTTTGGAGAGCTTATTAAATACACGATAATTAGGAAATAATTGGATTCTTATGTACACAATAACTCATTGTTTCTCATATACCCTGTTTCTTTCATTTAATGAAAATCGACTGGTATTAAGAGACAGCTGCGAGTAATTTGGTCACAAAAGACGAGCTTTCATCAATAAACCTTATGCCGTCAGATATTTACGCCTGTTCTTGTACCTTATTTGGCTTTGATTGTCATTCTTTGTGCTGTGTCATTGGATAATATCTTCCGGCGCAACTCGGGTCTTATTTTCCATGCCGAAATCTGTTTACTAATACCTGATCTCTGATAACTACTTATGGCGGTACTTTTGATCAGTATATCAGATCATGTCTACAGCAAAGCAAATTTATATACCGTCTTAAGATTTTAAACGTTTACACTGCTTGCTTAATCGGTAAAAGGGAATCTTGCTTGCGAAAAACAAGTGGTGTTATCTTGATCTATGCCTTCATCAACAAATAACCTCAATATTAGCAAGAAAACTAAAAGATTGCGTGAGATAAGAATGCTCTTTCTTCGACACTGACATCATCCGCTTCCCAGATCTGTAAAATCTAGAACTAGAGATAATAGATTGTTATTGAAAATGTCGTGGCTGCTAAACACCGTGTGGAAGAGATTATTGTGCTTTGATGCTTAAAGCTGATAGACATATTGTGGACATCAATCACTTCGTTCCACACAAATAATCCTAAATTTGTTTGTACTTGATGGTCTTCATTAGATGAAATCTATAACAACGGAACCGGAATTAAGGTCACTTAAATAACAATCTGGGTCACTCGGTCGCAAATCTAGGTCAATTGGTAAAGAATACAGGTCACAGGTATTCGTTGGAATTGGTCTATTATTGTGATCGGATCAGGAAATCGACTAAAGCATCTTTAATATTTGGCTTCGTCTTTGATTTGATGTAGTTGGCTATCGGCTTACATATGTTTTTATCGTGAAATCTGACTAAGTCTGTCTGACAAGCGATTGTCTAAAAGTTCCTATTATTTCTTGATGCTTTTCGTTCAAACCACTTAAATGAATCATCGAACCAACTAGAAGAGAACAATCGGATTGATCACAGAAGTTGTTACCACAATCGAAGCTATTATATAGCAAGAACAATTGATGACGGAATATGGATGCAAAAATCACTGTCAATATGTATAGAATTCAATTGAAGTTCCATCGTTTATTATTCCTCCCAAAAATACTTTACTTTCTAGTTTATCAAAGTTTATGATTCATGTTAAGATACGGAAAATATCGCGTAATTATTTATTTATTTCCGGTAGTGCTCATGTTTTTTTGTAAACTTTACCTGCCATTTATATTCCATCAACTTTAGAGATGGGTTCCCTTATTTTCATTTCTGAAAATAAAAGTGATAATACTTATATGAATAGAAAGTAGAGGTGTTCTTATGGCTTGGAAAAATACTAGTTTGTCCCTCATGTCCATAATTAATGCATAATTAGCTAAATTTGAAGAGAATTATCAGCAGAATTCCAATGTGTGACCGATCAAGAAATGTCAAAAAGTCTTTTTTGTTTATCCAGACTTTACATACATGGGCATTTATGATTGGTTAAAACTTTTAATTATAAAGAACACAATGAACTAGAATAAATAATAATTCGTTAGAAACACCAATTAATCAAATTATTTGCTTAATTTGACACTAAAAAATAAGGAAAACTATCTTCAACCATCTACTTAGATTTTCTTCAAAACTGTGTTTAGTATTAAATATTAGTCTATTGTGTCTTCCATCAAATGACATATTTCGCAATACTTTCTTTAAGAATAAAAAAGAACATAATGTACAAAAATACCACGTCGTGTAGAGACAATAGATGCCAGAGGTTGTCTGAAAAATCAAGTGTTAAATGGTAGTCTTTGATGTTGTTGAATCTATAGAATCTTTTAATATAATATGGCCCTTTAATTATGATGTCGAAATCTCACATAATGATCTTCACCTAGAAGCCTCGGGTCATGATTACGAATGCATCAAAGTAACATCATTTTTAGAAATAACTTGATAGTACTAAAAGTATCTTCATATATAATGCGTGCACTTGATTACAAAGGCTGAGATCTTTCAGAAAGCTTCCAATAGGAGCCTCGGGCTGTTGCTTCCAACCACTTTCACATTTTTAGCGTTTGATTGTTAACAAGAGCCTCTCGAGTTCTCTTGGTTATTACAGATTCAAGATTAGATCATTTCTTACATAAGACCATTCCACACAACAGTCAATAACGAAAAGTTTTATTTTTATCGGTCTTGTAAGAGACACTATTACTATCAGTAGAAGAAATTTTAGACAAAATTGTCATCAACATCCTCACCCTACCAATACGTCAAGATCTCGTCCCGAATGTAATATTTGGGCACAAAAGGGTGTATGCATGGAAATATGGTGGTAAGACGATGAAAGTAGTCCACCCTATAAATGCAAGTAGAAGGTTTACATTTTTATGATTCGGTTGAAGGTTTGGATTTTGGAATAGTTTATCTACTAGGGTGCCTTGCCTTTACTTGATAAGTTTATAAGAGTTGTGAGTCAGACATTCAACTTATTATATTCAGCTTCTTCATAGGAAAGTCAAGAAGAAAATTACTAAACAAATCCATTATAAAATCGCGTATTCTAAACCAGTTTTCTTTAGCAACATTATGAGAGCACATTTCATTCCATTCAAGGATTTTATTATTCGGTATTCTTAATGATTTTGTCAACATGAAAAGCTTGTTCATATACACATGGACGTCTCTTGTCTTGATATTGATTTTTGGTTCAGTTTATTGCATTAGAGTTTTGAATTGATTTATCAAATTCGTGAAACTTAAAGGAATAATGTCGCATAATAAATTTCTACCAACAGAAACAGAGACCTCCGTAACGCTTTTCAGAATATAGTCCGGCAATCGGTTTGTACGCGATTGAAGTTATAACGGTGGAAAGATAGTCGTTTATGTCGGTTATATCGGTAATAACTACTTGTGGAAATGTTGAAGTACGGCCTGGATTTCTTGACTACCCTTACAACCGCTGGTACATATATTGCAGACTAACCGGGTGCCATGTTTTACTGTGGTACGGATAACGGGTTTTCAAATGATAAAAAAATATTAAGGACATAATCCCTTTGTTTATAAGGTTGATTTACCTTGATGAACCTATTTCAGATTCCCCATACAGATGTCGTATCTAATTTAGAATTGTTATTTACCATTGTGAGTGTCATAATATAACAGTATTGATTACTGACATAATAATGATATGACATATAATACTACTTATCACACAGTTTTATTGATAATATATTCTATACTTATTTTGGCATGTTTATTGGCTTAGTGATAAACACAATGGGATCAAATTAAGTTTTAACAAAGTAAAGTGTACTAGTTCATTATGGTTGTTTAAGTACGAATTCAGATGTCGTTTGAAAGTTGTTATGATTATATAGTATATTATATGAAGGCTTCTAAATAGACGTTTTTATTTCTCCCATTGGTGAAGGCGTTGGGCAATATATTTTTATTGAACTATATCCATATTTGAAATGTCAAATTTCAGAACAGTGCACCAAGCTGTTTTAAAAAAAATGGACAATTAAATCACCTAAGGCCTTCACGTTCCCTGAAAATCTCGTTCTCTCTCCAGGTCTATTTTCAGATTAGGTGCAGTGAGGTCAATTAAATCTACCGATTCATCAGCTACCAGTCATTGAAAAAACAGTTGTTTTCAAAATCTATCCGTAAGAAGGTCGACATGAAGCCCCGCTAAAGATCACTCGGCAGCTGGATATCGAAAAAGAGTATGCTAATTCCATTGGCGAAATTGCCATCATTGCACATTGTATGGGGTTGCCTGTTTTAATTAGTCCATAATGTGCAGGATGTAAAACTCCATTCACCCATTTCATTTTTCACTTCAACCATTTAATATTTGTTTCATTATTTTTGTTCTAATTTCAGATTATGAGGAATATCTTCATTAAATGTTTTAATACGTACAAGTCAGAAGTAGAATCATCTATATCAGAATCCACAGCATTAAAAACATTAAAATTTAGTCCCAGATTATTTGAAATAAAACTGTCACAACGACTGGAAACGGTAGTGTATTTTAAAGAGACTGACACTTTTCTCATTGCTGAAGGAGAAGCCGCCAGATGCACCAATTTCCATACCGGTAAGTTACTAGTGATATCTGGTAGTTATCAAACCGTAGAACTTATAGAGTCAAGAATTGTCTTACTGTTATAACAAATGCCTGTCTGTGCTTAGGTCGTATGAATTTGCATACGGGATCAACTGGTTCAAATGTTGAGTTTACTTTTTCTATATATGGTGCCGAAAACACAGTAAGGCGTGCGTGACATGCAAGGGTTTACTTATATTTCTCCAGTAAACTGTGGTTTATGGAAATGGCTTTAATAGGTTGAGTAGTTATTCGAATACCATGAAAATGATATTGGATATCATTGCTGGTACCTGGTAAAAGATAAATTAGTGTAAAGTCTAGTGAGATGGAAACTTTCACGTCATTTTACCGGAAGTACATTTACTGCTGTCCAGCCCTAACACCCCTCTTAGCATTAAGATCCCTAATGAATAAGACGAGAATTCTTACATTTACTCTATTTTCTACTTACAGGTAAAGACATTAACTTAGCTATGGACGGATTACCAATTCTAAATAGATTTATTACTATGATCACTTGGGCATCTTCAGAACATTCTATAATGGAGGCCATGCTCTTTAAATCAAGATCAGCTGAACGAATATGTAAATCCTTTCTTAAGAATGGCTTAAGGGACACCGTGTTTAGTCCGTCTTGATGGAATTCCATTTATTTCTTCATCAACTCTTCATCTTGGTCTACAGAGAGAGGAATCGAGTCTTAACGGGCGGTGTCAGTTTGTCTTCGAACAACCTCGTAAACCTTGCGTTAAGGCTGACTGAAACTGATTTATCCTCTAATTGTTTATAAGGAGATCTCGAATGACCATTTCTTGGCCCTACTCCTTGAATCTAGACATTATGAACTTATTCACCAAAACTGTAAAAGGAGGACGGAAAGCGAAAACCTATTTTCTTAAAGCGTGTCCCCATATTTGTATTGCAATTATGTCTCGATCGCTTTGGAAAATTTTAACAAAGATTGTACTGAGTATATAACAGAATATTAGAGCCAAATTACCATTATCTGCTCAATTCCAAGTTGACAAAACCAATCTGAGAGTGTCATCGGGTATTCTGGAAAGGTCAGCATGCTCTGCTTCACTAACGACGGCTTTCCGTTACCTGATGGTTTCATTGTGCTAAATGCTTGTGTCACAGATGTTATTTCGTTACACATTCCTTTGTATATGCTTTTTGTTTCCTTTTGTCTTTGCTGAAAAAGCACAAAACTTATTGGTTTGGCACAAGTGAAAAGTTATCTAGATACTGATTGAACACAATGAAAATAAACATGAATTTGTTGTCTGAAAATATATTTTTAACAGATTATCCCAGAAATTAGCTTTCTAATATCTAGTTACAGGAATTTTTGTAGTAGAGTTCTCACAATTGTTACTTTACTTTCATAATCCAATAATGTACAGCAGATTGCTCTATTTCTGTAAGATACTCTACTTTACAAAAATGAAGCCGAACTATTGTAGAATAGTCGTCTCTTTACTTTACAGCGTCTAGTTTAAGCAATCTGTTTCAATTTTAGAAATATAAATTCGACTCTTCCAGCCTCTGACAATGTTTATCTTCGAGTCACTAAGTAAAGGACTTAGAAGCTGGAAGTGGATTAATAGGAACGCATGTCTTGACAAATTGAATTTCTTAACGTACAATTTCCAGAAATCCCAATGGAAAACATTGAAATGAGCATGGAAATTGTATCACTCACAGAAGAGACGGAAACAAGAATACTGAAGAAAAATACCGAACTATATAAATAGTTAAATGTTTTCACACATTACTGGTATCTGCTATGTATTTACTTTAATTAATTAACCAGGAACCTTTTTATTGTTGTTATACTGTCTTGTTGTACTAAAATATTGTTCTGGTTAATCGAAAATAAAATAAAGCAATAATCACAAACTTTTTATTCACTTATATATAGCACAAAGTTACAAGTTCCGAACTTGTCTTTAAATGTAGACATGAGAGTAGGCTGAAAATAGGTCAGTTTTCTGAAGATTGCATAGCGTGGAACTCTGGGTAACAACATGATTCAAGTTCTGCTATATGTCTAACAAAAAAGGTAAACAGTTATTTTATGATCTCGACCATTTTGACTATGTTGGAGCAGTTAGTCGTATTAGATATTCGTGCCACTTTTCAGACTGCAAATGCGACGTTCGATTCGCCTACTATTAAATAACAAACGATGGATGCGACAGTCTAAGGTTCTAGTTCTTATCGACATTCTCTATGCAGATGTTACCCACATTATTAAGTCATTGTGATGTTGTTTAGTGTTTACTCGCGTCGGTGGTTTATTATGAGTAATCGAAGACAAAACGGAAAAAACGCATGTTAGAATAACATTCTGAAGAAAAAGTCTGTGGATGCCTGAATTTTACCTGTATCAAACGAAAAGTTGATATAAAGACTACAGTATCCCTTCCTTGACTAACGTCAGTCTTTCTTTGTAACCGGTGCCAGTCGCAAAGGTTTTTCTTCGACAGAGTTGATTCCATTTCATACATACAAGAACAAATAATCTGGTCACGTTCAATTTATTTTGGCAGGATCCTCAACTTCTAACCGTTTATGACTAAGATATAACTAACAGAGCGTGTCAAAATTTCATCAGTAATTGCTTTATGATTGACGGATTGAGTTTGCATTGCTAGAAGGTTCGATAACTCGTCGCGACAAAACAAACAAGAAACACTTAGTAACAGCAAACACAGATAGATAATAACTAGAGGCAGTGTAAGTTGATGATAGTAATAAAGTTGTAGAAGTAAATCTAGTGAAATCAAGTAGGCACTTCATCTTAATGACAATAGATCAATAGCTCGCCATAATGGACATCAAATGGTGTGGAAAGTCAACTTATCTTATAGTCCGACACTTGCTGGTCTTGACGTGGTAAATTTGCAGTAAACCCATCTTCACAAAGTCAGGCTTTTACAAACTTCGTCTTATATCTTTATTGTAATAGTCATTTTTTTGTGTCACCGGGATGCAGCGATTTGAATGAATTGTACCCTAGCAAATACAGCCAATCAGATCCCTCGACAGAAAGACTCCCAACATTATGACTGAATGTTTACAGACTCTTTCTCGAGGCCTCTAGTTGGCCGTATTCGCCAGCGTACAATCTTATCAAATCGCGAGATCTACACGCTTCTGTGGCACAGGAATGGTGGCTGCTGCAGTCAAGGTATAAGACTAAAATAATAATAGTTTGGCATTGTGAAGATGGGTTTACTGCAAATTTTCCTCGACGGGGCCAGCAAGAGTCGGACTACTATGTGCCTTTTATTTTTGATCTTGCTCCAACCAATTACAGCTTACTGAGAGATAATTTCAGTGAAGTGGATGACCATGAGAAATGAAGCGGAATATTAAGTGACGTTCAAAGCATGTACCGCTGAAAAGCACGACATGACGTTTTAAAGAGCTATACCAAATGGTAAAACCTTGTACTCCTATTCCGTCGAAGCGTTCAGAGTGCAATATTTGTAGGTGTCAACGATGCAAATCAACCTCCGACCACACTTCGCTTCGCACTGTGTCTTCATTTCTGAACTAGACATTGAATTGTTCTTCTGAAGTAACAAAGTATCAGCTGAACTAAAAAAACTTAATGGCTTTTTCCGTCTAATGATTTCATGAAAAGACGAAAATACGTTTTCAGTCTGGATAGGTCAGACTGCGAGCAGTTAAGTAGGTAGCGTTGTCGTGTCTTTCAAAGGAAATCTTGCCAATAACGATTCGCATACGGCGGAGAGATCAGACAATAAATTTTACTTTAAATCTCACGATCTTAGAATATTCAGACTATAGTATTTTAGAAACTTAAAAACATATCATATTGCAGTCACCCATAACGATCTCAACTCCAAGTCATGAAATATTTCCTCAAAATTATTGATTTTTGTCTTACTATGATACGAGTAATTGTGAACAAACTGTGACTCGAAGGTTTTGAATGTGTCAACTGATTAGACCATTTGTCAGTAATCAGTGTTAATCAGATTAAACATCAACTCACTTGTCGAAAACAAACGAATCCGATAAGATTAAAGTCTCGATATTTTGGTATAATGATCCAGGAACTCCTGGAATTCCTGTAGCTGTTTATCAGGAACTGTAACCGGAGGAAATTCAGACAAATCAATAAGTTCTGTGATGTATTGGCCTAGATATTTAGTCGAAAAGGAACTTGCAACACTAGATAGTAGCACCATGCCCCCACTTCAACACGTCACTGTATTGCATGTTATTTCTGTGTAGTCTAGGTTCCAAATAGCCTTATTTTCTTATTATTATGGTGAAGAATAATTCAAAACCTCTTTTGGTAGTTTTTTGATGCCCTAGACTGATTTGGTAAGGTTCAACGAAGACAGATTGACTTTAAATGACACAACCAAGCAACGTTAATGAATTAAGATGGTGGTTGTAGATCTCAAGTTAACGTCTGCTTCCAACAGAAGCTGATATCACAGACTGTCAATGAAAGAAATATATTAACGTGCATTTCATAATGCCAAGTGTCGCTGTTAGTACACAGAAGTTTCCCCGATATTCAATTCACATTTCATGACAAGTTAATAAGCGGTTTTATTTTAAATTTACTATCACGAGATCACACGTTCCTATACCATTATATTTCTTAATTTCTCTGAATTCTGCTATCAATTGAGAGTAAATTAGGGTTCTTGAAAGTAAGCCAGACTTTCAAGGTTATATATTGACACATTTATAACCTGGTAAATGAGCCACATTTCTTTAGAAATATTTTAAAGACCTGGCGCCATTCTGATAACAGCTGGTCAAAGCATTGTCTGCGATCAGACAGGGTAAGAAATTCTATTATTTGAAGAATATTGTGGATCTATGTCGGGTTGTCAAACTCAGTCGCACAGTAACATAAGGTGTATTGAAAGATGGATCATGTCCTATACTGTTAGCTGCATTAACCACATCGTGTCCAAACCACACCTCCTACTTCCGGGTTAAAAAGAACATGTGAAACACGTATTCGGAATACCATGCATAAATCACAGATTGGCAATGAAATATTTGGCATGAATTGGTGATTCTTGCATCGATTCCAATATAGATTGAGACTCCCCTACATTCCCTAATGGGCCCTATGAAGGGCTAATACGTAAAAAACCCTCGTTCGGCTTTCGTCCCCGTACGTACAGACTATGAAGATCTAATATTCTTTGTTGCGGAAGATCAAAATAGAGCGAGCCAATGCCAATCTTTCATCAAATCTCTCTGATTAAACATTGGCTCAAATTCGTTAGTTCAATCTGGAGCAGGAAATAAAGGATGTGAAACTCCATTTAATTTCGTTTCATTTCTACGGATTACTGTGAAAGTAGGTCAGACAAACCTAAGCCATCTCTTATCATTTCATCTATTGAATCGTTCAGGAAGTTAGTAGCCAAGACTTGTGAAATTACTGAAATATCTTTTAAAATTCCTCAAATAAGATAATTGATCAAGTTATCGTGACTCTAATTGAAATTGGAAATATAGATTCCCAATATCATCTCTATTAATTCTTTTCTCACCAGTTACTTTTTGCTACCACATGATAATTAAAGGGATTGATTCGCCATGCGTTTAACCCATCGTACCTTAGTTT